CCCCAAAACCCCAAAACCCCAAAACCCCAAAACCCCTAAAGACAAATTCCATATTGAAATTACCAACCAATGTCCTTGCGAGCCAGAACTGACCATGTCTGCGTGTTGATGTCGAAGATGTGGATGTCTAGAGAGTTCGTCTCTACAGAATATAGATTACCATCAGAGGACATCTTAGGCTGCCTTTGATAGAAGTTTGATTCAGACGCTGTTTTACAGTTTATTCTTTCAATAATACTTGACTCTGGATAGAACATGAAGCAATCTCTACTTTTTCTTTCACTTGATGTATACCCACCAAAAATTAGTATTTTTGTGCTATCTATGGTGTAGAGTCCTCATCCTTCAAGACATACCCACTTTTTAGTGTAATTCTTCATCTTCACATCAATAAAGTTCCATTCATCTCCATAAAAAGTGTCCAATCTTTCTATAATGTTGGTTCTTTGACCTCCATTGAATCCAGCCATGACATAAATATATTTCTTGAAAGCAATGGAGGAGTGGAAATTCCTCTTGGTATTCAAAGATGGGCCTGATGTCCAAGTATTTGTCACCACATCATAGTACTCACATTTATTCATACTCTCAGTTGGGAGGCTACTACCAATAGCATATATGTGAGACTTGTTCTTAGAGTCTTTAATTTCTGTCAAGGTATGAGCTCTCCTCTCATAAATCATATCTTTTCTTGGTATTAGAGTGTTATCCAGGAACTCATAGCAGGTCTTCCTTGCTTTACCAGGCTCTCCACCTCCGCTTATAAAAATTCTGCCATCATCAGTCTCAATGCTCATGAAATTTGCAGGTATTTTAACTGGAATTCTACAAACTTCATAATTAGAGGATTTTATATTATATTTATACATAGAATGACTGTTATAAACAAAGAAGTGCAGGATATCTTTTTCCTCAGAGATCAGGCGGACATTAGGAACTTTGATGCACTGGCTGACCACTTTTGATAAAACTTCCACTGATTTCTGGTCTTTTCTTATTATGTTAAGGTTCTTGAATTTTTCCAGATCTTTCTTACATTGTTCAATCTCTTGTTGATGAAAAGTAATAGAGTCCATCTGCTCTTTGATCTCATCTGTATTCTCAATAATCCTAGTATACTTCTTCTGGTTATATTTTTCACGTAAATCCTTGACATATTTCTGAAATTGACACTGTTTCCTTTGTAAGTATTCAGCCTTTTTGGAAAGATCGTCACAATTCATCTTAGCAAACATTTCCCTAAGCTCTTTCATTTTCTCTCGTTCGATCTCTCTTAATTTTTCATGCAAAAATTCAAAGAAATCCATGATCATTGCTCTAAAATTAGTTCTGATTTTGAAATCATTGCTCTCAAATAGCTCATTAGTCATATTAGAGATTTTACTGACAATGTCCCTTGCAGCAGCTTTAAGAAGCAAAATTTTATTACTGTGATGGATATGCTTCTCAGAATCAGTGCAATCTTCACAAACTAGCTCTTGATGAACAGCTCAGAACCCAACATAGTTCATTTGGTGTAGTTCACAGACATCATTCAAGGTCCTACTACTCTGCATTTTCGATTGATAGTTACTCTGGACTCCTGAATACTCATCCATCGAGCTTGAATTGGATTGTATAAAGTTAAGGAAAAAGAATTTCTCGTCTTCATCTTGACTAAAGTTGTTGTTCTTCATTTCTACAGAGGAGCAATCCTCCATAAGAGGCTCATCTTCACCCTGATGACTCTTAAACCCTCTCAGAGATTTCATGACTTCTGACCTAATCTCGCGGGACCTATTACTTTTCTCCATTTAAATTAATATTATAAGATAGCGTATTGTTAAATCGGGGTTTTGGGGTTTTGGGGTTTTGGGGTTTTGGGG